TACAAATATGCCAGCACAGTGCCACCGAAATCTCATTATCCGATTATGTTAGAGTTGTCAGATGAAAATACAGGAATGGATTCCTGTACAAACAACAGCTGCCGAAATTCCCTCTTCTATATTATGATTAAAATTACAGGAGCCCTGTCCTGTATTTTATATTAAAGATGATGCCTGGTTGAACACTTCAGTAAAGGCTAGACTGAACAATTTACTAATTTAATTTTACATGTTTTACATGGAGCAGAGCTTGAGCAGAGAAACAGCCGTGTGCAGTAGCTGTGGAAATTGAATATATTTTATATATTGAAAACCAGGCTGGCTTTCAAAGAAAGGACCACACACACACACACACACACTTAAATATTATTATTTAAGACTTGGGAAAGCCAAACAATTTATGCTCACATCTCCAGGCATTAGTCTGCCTGCTTAAGCTGTTCCAGGTACAGTGACATTAACACTACAATCCTATACCGACTCATCCCCAAGTAAGTATCGATGGACCTCCTAAAGTACAGACAGCTCTCCTTATCTACAGATTTTTTATTCACGGATTCAAGAACCTGAGCATCCATAGGTTTTGTTATCCACAGGGGATCCTGGAACCAAACCCCAGTGGATAATAAGGGCCCACTGTACTTATTACAGAATAGATTAGAACAATATGCATTAGAATTACATAGGCCCTTCAGGCTAAATGCAATTCTGTTTCTGGAGCTTAGAAGGCATGATCAGTTTGTGGATGAAAGATCACCATGGGCCTTTTCACACTAGTTACAGTTCCATGATTCCACTTTAAATCCCATGGTAACAGCCTATGGAATTTGGGGATTTGTAATTTAGGGAGGGCCATTAGGCTCCTGAGCCAGAAAAATCTTGCTACTTGAAATGTTTCTTTTTTTACACATGAAACCATGTGCAGATTTTCCTCCAGAATGCCTTAATTAAAATTTGCTAAAACCACTGTGCTGAAGCTAGCCTGTGGGACAGCACTTGATTCCTTTCTAATTTTGTATGCTACAAACCATTACCTATCTAGGAAGGAAGGAAGGTAACAGAAAAACAGCTAACCTGGACAACTAGAAGAGTTAAAACCTATATTCAAAAACACCAATGAAATATATTGGTGTAGTGAAATACATCCCCCTGTAAGTTGTGACTGCACCCTCCATCATCTCTTAACTATTGGCTATGTTGGGCTAAGCTCATGGGAGTTACAATCCTACGTTGTGAAGGCTCACATGTTCCCCAGTCCTGCTGTATACATCTACTGCAGCAAAATGCCAAGCACACTCCAGCATTTAAGCCACTTGTTAAATAAGCAAACCTAAGGTGAAGTGAAAAGATGTTCCTCAATCATATACAAGTCACTACAAATTATTGCCAATATAAATTAAGAAATGGGGGGGGGGGAGTGTCTAGACAAGAATCATCAACAAGGTTCACCTTAATTTTACAAACATGAAAGTAGCTAGAACCATGATGCCTAAGCCAATTTAAGCCACAGAGTAGTTAAGATAATCAGCTTAACAATAACATTGAGAATCTTTAGCCACAAGTTAAAGACCAATTTGAAGAGGCACTGACACCATTCTGTCCAATCCATGCAGTTAATGTTTAAACCATTGAATTAGTCATCCACTGGCAATGCTGCATAGGTTTACTCTCTTGTTGTGGGCTTTCAAGTTGTTCCCAATTTATGGCGACCCTAAGGCAAACCTATTATGGGGTTTTCTTGGTAAGATTTGTTCAGAGGGGGTATGGCTTTGTCTTCCTCTGAAGCTGAGAAAATTTGATTTGCCCAAACTCACCCAGTAGGTTTCCATGGCCAAGTGAGGATTCAAACCCTGGTTTCGAGTTGCAGTCCAGTGCTGAAACCACTACACCACACTGGCTCCTATTGGTTAACTAGCTTTCTTGATTTTTATTGGCGTGACCCATTTTTCTTTTGACTGAAGCCCACAGACTCTAAGGAAAGTGCTATTACACCACTGACCACAGTAAGAGTATATTATGAGGTAGGAACATCTTTAACAACTTAATTGCAATTTAACTGAACAGGCTACAGCTATAACCAACATACACTGTCGGCAACTGCATCAACCACTGCATAAAACAGCATCTTGAGGAATGTAACCCTTAATCTTCTACATTTATCCCAGTTATTTATTGGCTAGTTTGCTGCTTCAGCTTCAAACTGAACATGGTGAGGCAGAACTCCTAGTCTTTCCATACAATCATAGAATCATAGAGTTGGAAGAGACCGGAAGGGCCATCCAGTCCAACCCCCCTGCCATGCAGGAACTCCCAATCAAAGCATCCCCGACAGATGGCCATCCAGGTTCTGCTTAAAGACCTCCAAGGAAGGAGCAGCTTAGGAAGAAAGCATGCAAGTTTCACATCTTAACAGATCACTGTAGGTAGTCAATTAATACTAATAAGGATCAACAACAGTAGAAAGTTTCATCACGAAGTAAACATACCAACAAAATGTTGAGGTGTCTATTAAGTACTCAGAGTTAGATCAGTGCATGACTTCGTAGTGAAGAAATCATATTAACATCAACAATAACAAACTTCCTCCACCATTCTAGAATTTATCAACATACCAGGTGAAGTAGCTTTTCCAAGTTTTGGCACAGCTGAAATCCAAACTCTGCAACAAAATAAGCATCTAAACATATGCAAAAGTTAATTAATTATAATTGCATACTTAACAGAATTCAAATGTATAGCATGCAATTCTAGTGTTCTGTATTAGGCCTAACAATAATGTTCATATAGTTGCATTACCTTTACTTCTTTCCCTAACATCACTCGGTTTGATCTATTTCCCCTGCTCCAGCAGGTTCCACTGCCATTGCATTCCTATCCCTCACCTTGCCACATACATACGCTTGTTCCAGGGAGGAAAGCCACATCTCTGTTATGTCCCTAACACTGCATGCAACATCTGTTCCTGTTCAATTTTCACAAAGGGTAAAGTGGGTGGGAAGTACTCTTTCTAATTCTGGATAGCCCCATTAGGCTTGCAGCCAATGACAGTGG